AATAAATAAATAAATAAATAAATAAATAAATAAATAAATAAATAAATAAATAAATAAATAAATAAATAAATAAATAACATCGCCCAAGTAATAATAATGCAGAAATGAAATTTTAACGGACCAATTTCGAAAGAAAAAAAAAGAAGAGTGTCATCTTAATTAATCCTTGAGAATTGAGGCGAGAGAAAATAAGATTATTATATTTGACGATGTTTGCATACAATAAAGTTCCTCCTTAAAAAATATTTCCTAAAAGTAGAATAAATAAACCCAACACGTTGAACCCAGGTGTCATATTAAACAACCTACTTGACCTCTGACTGAACGAAATAAATAAATCAACCGATGGTTGCACCAATAATCTATCTATTTCTGCTCAACTCTGCTTATTTAATTTGAGAGTTAAAAGATTTATTTGTATCTTCAAGTCAAGAAACAAGAATAACATGGGAAAGTTCAACGACTCCTACCTATAAACATTTTGCTAATTTTGATTACATTCATTCAATAGGTTGAAAATCTTCAACGTCAAGCAAGATCATTCTTCTTCTCAATTCTGTTATATATATGTAAACTAAAATTTTATTATTGAATTAATTTATTATCTTGCCTGCTATGTAAAGACTAATTTACTTGCATATCGATGTCACAATAACAGGGAGTGGAAGCTCATTGATAAATATAAACTATGTACTTAAAAACAACTACAAGACATCATGTCATCTACCTCATCTTGATGGCCAGGCGGAATAAAGCGTTCGGGAAACCCATAGGTGAAACTTCAACATGCTCAGTATATTTGTTATTCATAATATATATTATTACTTTAAAGAGTCAGAAATCAATTTCAAATAAAATTTAGAGCTTGATCCAACCTGAATTTTGAAAGCTGTTTTATCAATTTTCGGAAAAGGATTGATATAAAACTTTAAACCCATATAAAATCAGAACAACTGAGTCAAGGCCGAAGATTTTAAGCTTTGCATGAATTTATATACCTTTGGATTGAATAATTAAAAAGAAATGACAGAAATGACGAAAATAAAATTCATGATCACACATTATTATTATTATTATTTAGTTTTCTGGGGGTTCTTTTATACACGTTGTTATAACAAAGTTCAAAAATAACCCGATTAATTAATTAGCCTCGTGGAATGCAGAATTTGTGGAATATTATATTAATATAGTTAGTATCATCATTTTTTGGGGCAATTCAAATTTTGAGGGTAGTGTAAATTTTTTAAAATTTTATTTTTATATATTAACCATGGTAAGCCAAAGGTTGATCAAACAACGTGAATCTTTACCAGTAAGTATAAATAATTTTTCCAAGGATTATATTCATTAGTAATCCATTTATTTTTTAAAACCGAACAAATTAAACGAATTATTTAGTACTTGGTTTTTAGATTTATCCTTATAAACAGCAAATAATTGAAGCTATACAAAAAGAAAATTTACTAGTAATAATTGGCGAAACTGGTAACTTAATTTTTATTATTAATTTTCTTTTGCATACCATATATTTATATTATGTTAATTAAATTAATTAATATTTTTAGGATCTGGTAAAACAACACAAATTCCACAATATATTTTAGAAAGTTATCCTGATTGTAAATTGATCGGAGTAACTCAACCAAGGTCAATACATTATATTAATAATTCATTTATATATTTCTATCAATTATAATAACCATGCTTTTAAATTTAAAAGACGTATTGCAGCCATAACTGTAGCAAACCGTGTATCAGAGGAACAGGGTTCAAAATTAGGAGAGGATGTTGGGTATTGTATAAGATTTGATGATTGTACGTCATCGAAAACTAGATTGAAATATATGACAGATGGTGTTTTATTACGTGAAGCAACTCTTGATCCAAATCTTCGACATTACGATATTATAATCATTGATGAAGGTATATGCTGCATTGATAAAATTCTATTTAATTAATCATCAAAAAAAACTCCCAAAACTAATCTTTCTTACTGACATTTATATATAATATATTACACACACACACACACATACTTATATAAATATAGCACACGAAAGAACTATAGAAACAGATGTATTGTTTGGTTTATTAAAAACAACTCATCGTCTAAGACCAGAATTGAAAATATTGGTAATGTCAGCCACACTAAATGTTGAAAAATTTGCTGACTTCTTTGACGGTTGTTCTATTTTTATGGTACCTGGTAGAACTTATGAGGTGTCAATTATTCATCACCGTGAAACAAAAATCAGTAGTTTGAAATCTGCTTTTGTTCAACGAGCAATTGAAACTTCAATGTACATTCATACAAATGAGCCTCCAGGTGACGTATTGGTTTTCTTGACAGGACAAAATGAAATTGAAAGGGCTTGTAGAGAAATACTTGCTCAAGAACGTGATTTAAATTACAGAAAAGATGTGAAATATTATGATAAAGTCAGGGGGTTGGTGGTCTATCCCATATATGCCAATTTGGAAACATTCGAACAAAAATCGATATTTGAAGAACCACCCAGAGGCATTCGAAAAATTGTATTTTCCACTAATATTGCTCAGGTAAAGTAAAAGTTTTTTTATTTTATAAAATTGGATTTTAAATTCTAAATAATAATTACAAAATTCGAATATTAGGATATTGATTTTTATAAGTTTATTTGTATTTAATATATTTATATATTATATAGACATCAGTGACAATACCAGGTATAAGGTAATAATTACACCGTACACATGCACAAATGAATACAAACCGTACATATGTAATTTTTAATATATATATTATCATTATCATTATTAGATATGTTATTGATAGTGGATTTGTAAAACAGAAAATGTACGAACCATCAACAGGTATGGATGCATTACTGGTAGTTCCTATATCACAAGCAGCAGCTACACAAAGAGCAGGTCGAGCAGGTCGAACTGCTCCCGGTAAAGCTTTCAGGTTGTATAATCGAGAATCGTATGAACAGATGATTGAGGAAACTGTACCCGAAATCCAAAGAAGTAGCTTGCTTGGTACAGTCCTCAGCCTTAAAAAAATAGGAATAAAAGACATACTAGGTTTTGAATTCATAGATCCACCTGATTCTGCACTTGTTAAAAATGCATTAAAACAATTATTTCTATTGGAAGCAATCAATGAAAACGGAAATTTGACTGAATTAGGTGAAGAGATGACAAAGTTTCCTTTGAACCCATTTTTGTCAAGAGTATTGGTGGCTAGTGCTAAACAACTCAGGTGTAGCAAAGAAGTGGCGGTTATTGTTGCTATGCTTTCTGTCGAAGAGATTTTTGTTACGCCGAGGGATCAAGATAAACTGGAATTGGCTGATGAAATGAGAAGAGAATTTTATCATCCATCCGGTGATCATATGACATTATTAAATGTTTTTGATGCATATAGAGACAGTGGATATAGTCGTGAATGGTGCAGAGAAAAATTTATAAATTATAGATCATTATCAATGGCAAGAAATATAAGAGATCAACTTTATGATTTGATGAAGAAATCCGATCTACCAATAATATCATGTAGAATTACAGAAGATGAACGGGGGAGTGGGGATGGTGATCAACATTCTCATAAGAAAAGGCGTACCAAGCAATCATATCATCGAAAATATGATCATGAATTAATAATCGAGTCTTTCTCGTCATCATATTATATTAATCTGGCCAAAGTACATTCACACAAACCAATATTTTATCATTATATTTCATCAACAAGTTCGAATGATTCCGTTGATTCCAATTCATCATTACTTGCACTAAATATATCGCCTACATCATCATTACATCCTGATAATAAAATAGTCAGGACGGAGAATTTGGATTGGGTAATTTATCATTCTATACTGTACACAACTAAAGCTATAATGAAAATTACTAGTAGAATTAGATTCGAATGGGTGCAAAAAAGATTGGAGTTATTGAAAAAATTGGAGAAAGCAAGATTGGATGAAAGTTTACAATCAAATGAAAATAAAACCGGTGACGAGGATAATAATAAAAATGATGATGATGAAAAAGCAATTAGAATGTCTATTGAAGAAGATAATAAAATTAAAGAAAGAAATGAAGAGATTAAAAATAAAAGACAGGAAACGATCGAGGCTGCTAGACAAAGAGCTTTACAAAGAAGATCTTTTAATCAATTATAAATTGATAAACTACAAGGAATTCAGGTTTATCTAAAACTAATTGGATAAACACTGTCCGAAATAACAATATAATCTCTATAATATTTATTATTTTTTTTACAAATAAAAAACAAGTCCATTGTTAAAGAAAATATACATACCAGTTTATACGGACAATTGTGATAATTACAAGTATCATTGAATGAGGCAAATATATATGCCACACCAAATACTTTTCATCACCTTAAACTTGAGGTCCATGTGAAATATTTTCTTCAACTTTGACTTTGCTTTCTTTGGCTAGAGAATTTCTAAATATAAACATGTTATGTATAATTAAATAATAATTATTAAAATTTTTGATCTACAATAAAAAAAGATCTTCATTATTTTCATATTACAAAAAGCAAAAGTGTTTTATAATAATAATATTCGCGTCTTTTTGAAGTTCTCACAGGTTTATTTAATATCAAAAAGAACCAATATGTCATGCAAACCTAAAACTATGCCTAAAACTGATGGCGATGATTATGATGCCAAAGAAGAAACTAGCAGTATTAACAGTAATAATGTTGAAAACTCGGTAGAAACTTCAGCAGAAACGCGTCAAAATAAGAATTCAACGATTACCGATAATATTGATAACAAAAACAAAAGAAAAGATTTCTCCAGTGAAAATAAAAAGCTTCAAGAGGAAGAAGTAAAAGTTTTGAAGAAACAAAAAAAATCTAATACTAACAATGAAGATGATAACACAGCAAAGGCATCTGCTACCAATACTAATCTCAAAATGCCAGAGAATTTAAAATTTGAACCTAAACAACCTGGTACCGTTAAATTTGTATCATATAATGTTGCTGGATTGAATGCTTCTCTGAAAAAAGTAATGATTTGATGTATATATACGTATTTATATTTTATGATCTATATATATAATTAAATTGTTTTTATTATTAAATTAGGGATTTAAAAATTATATCGAGGCAGAAGATCCTGATATTTTATGTTTGGAAGAGACTAAAGTAAGTAAAGAGGTTGATGGTGCTATTGACTATAAAAAATATCAATATTATTGGTGGGGAATTAATGAAACTAAGAAAGGGCATGGTACAGTAAATTCATTCGCATTTAATAAATAAGATTTACGACCCTTTTCGGTATATTAATCCAATGATCTATTTTATCCATTAGGTGGAATTTCAGTATTTTCGAAAATCAAACCTATTTCATCAACATTGGGATTACCAACTCATCCAAATCCAGAGATTACTAAAGGAAATATTATAACATTAGAATTTCCCGAGTTGTATTATGTTGCGTGTTATGTACCAAACGCTGGTTCAAAATTGGTCAAATTAAATGAAAGAATGGGATGGGACGCTGCGATGGAAAAATATTTAAGACAACTTGATGAAAAGAAACCAGTGATTTGGGCTGGGTGAATATATGCGTACTTTTTTATTTAAATAATATTTTATTTTTTTATTCATGATAAAAATTGATTTTTCCTATGTTATATATAGTGATTTAAATGTTGCTCATAAAGAAATTGATTTGACAAACCCTGACAAAAATCACAAGTAAATTCTTTTTGTTATTTATTCTATTTATTATCTTTTTCTCCTCTGATCGTTGATTTTGATTCAAAATGGTTATATATAGAACTGCCGGTTTTACACCAGAAGAAAGAGGGAATTTTGAGAAAATTTTAAATGGTGGAGGAGACAATAAATTTGTTGATACTTGGAGACATTTTCATCCAAATGCATTAGGTTGTTATACTTACTATTCTTACAGATATCAATGTCGTTCAAAAAATATTGGTTGGAGATTGGATTATCACGTGGTTAGTGAGAGAATTTTGGATAGAGTTGTTGAAAGTGAAATTAGGTATAAATAGTGATTTGATTGATTGATTGATTGATTGATTGTTAAATTTGATGACTATGAATTTTTTTATTGACATATCTGTTTTTTTATATAGGAGAGAGTGTTATGGAGCTAGTGATCATTTACCTATTGTTATGATTCTTCGTGGAGAATTGTGATTAATTAACATACACATAAAATAATGTTTTTGTCTTTATGGCTAATCATGAATTATTGTAATAAATTATAAAATAATAAATAAAAATAATAATTGCTATGGTTTAATAATAATAATGCAAATGGTAGTGGTAGTAATTATGAATATCTTTAATACATATTTTTCAAATATCATCATATTCGTCTTCATTTCCATTTACAACTTGAAATAAGAAAGTAGCAAAATTCATAGTTAAATGCATATAAAATCCTTGATATAAATTACCAATCCCATAATTATCTAACCAACCACGTTGTCTACGTTTGTTGCGTTTAAGTTTATTAAGCGATGGATGTGATGTGCCATCATTATCAGATACATATTTTTGACTAATTCCTTCCTCCAAGACAATTCTATAAGTAGCGTCCAACATACCAAAATAATGAGCTTGACGTGTTTGAACAATTGTTTTAAATGGTCTACCAGGTTTACGTGTTTTAATTTGACATTGCAAACGTTTACGTATAGTTTCCAACGGTAAAGTGATTATTAGTTGTAAAGTTGATAAACCAAATTGTGCAAACCCGAATAAAATCGGCGATTCAGTTGGTGAGATATGAAATATACGTTCAATGAATAAATCTCTTGTGCACTGCAATAATGGTACAACTGTGTGGTATACTATTGAAGGTAATAAATTATGTGACCAATATAATGATGAAAATCCTTCTTCTCTAATAATTTGACTTAAACAATTAAATGTTCCGTTATATTTTTTATGAGATGGCGATGATGATTGAACAATCAATCTACGGGACAAAATTTTTTTTTGAATTATTAACAAATATTTTGATTACAATAATTTATATTTTCTAATCAATTAATTAATTACAAACAAATTACCTGGTTCTAACTATTTCCAAAGGACTTAAAAGTACACCAACTATTAAATGACTAGCAACTTTTGTGACGACATTTGGTGTAGCATGATCCAAATAGATTAAAGGAATTGTGTCATCGTATAAATCAAAGGTCTCATTTAACTTGCCTTCAAGGTTTGGTTGAAAATAAAGATATCCAATTTCATACAACCAAGTTGCAAATTGTCCTTTGTATTATCGAATGTTTATAGATATATATATATTTGTAAGTTAAATATAACAATAATAATATAAAATAAAATAATTTTAAATCGTTAATCACCTTTCCATAAAGATGAATATCCTTCATATGGATGTTTTTTTAAAGTACTCATACTATCTCGTAAACCATTTTCTAATGGTGATATCATATAATCTGGTCTTGTGGAGTCATCATGAATATTAGTTTTGATATAACCTTGAGTATCAGAAGGTCTAAGTTTATGAAATCCTGGTGAGTTTGAATCCAATTGACGATTAGATGAATTTGAAGAATTTAAAAAATCTTCTTCATCTGATCCCTAATTAATCAATAATAATAAAAATGGTTTATAAATATTATAAGGTAAAATAATAATAATAATAATTAAATTATAGGTAAATAAAAAAAATTAATATAAACATCTTCGTCAGAGTCCGGTGATTTATTTTCATTTTCAATTTTAACAACATCCTCGTTTGGTATATATTGAACTTGCATCAATGTTTTTGCAGTTTCGAAAGGGGTTGAAAGCGAGGTAGAAAGATATTTAAGTACACAAAATGAAAATGCATCTTTCAAGGAATTATGCGTTTCGTCATCTACGAATGAATTCTTTTGTTCTTGTTGCTGCTCCTTTGAAGATATGTTACCAAAAGGTGTATAGAAATGGTCTTCATTTTGAGGAATATATGGTCGTAAAGGGTGAATCGTTGTTGTTCGTAGCATAGTGGACATTCGTTTTATCACATGTGACAAAATCGATCGTTGATCTTTTTTTAGAATAGAAAAAAGTCGCGTGACTGCCCACAAAAACTTGTTTAACCTGAGATGTATTTTTTTAACGTGTATATTTTGCTTTCTATGTTCTCAATATGTGTGTGGAAAATGATCAAATGATCAAGTTGCTTTTGAAGGGTTATATAGGAGCTATATTTCAAGCTTTAGTGATCAACTTAAGTATATTGTAAGACATTCTAGGCTCAGAATCATGCATTTTTGCTTTATAATATGTTTATTTAAAATTTTACCAATACAAATATTTCGGAAATAATCATTTCTTTTTAATTTAATGTAACAAATTATCATTAACCATTATCTTTTTCTGGACTATTATTATTATATAGGATTTTATATTTGAGACAACACCTTTTTTATAAAGTTCCATGACCATGTATTAATGTTATACCTTCTTGTTCATCCTCCTTGATCACAATATCATTATTATTGACAAGAGATGGAGAGAAAGAATAATGTGAGAAAGCTATCTATGATGGAAGATAAACTCTCACTTGTAAATATTATTATTTATTTTTTTTTTTGTTATATAAACTTGATATATTAAATTTTGGATAATATTTTATTTATTATAGTGAAAAAAATTATTTAAATACACATGCATATATATCTTTAGAGGAAACATTACTAGCAGGTTTAATAATATTCAAATTATTACAATGCATATATATATAATTTAATTTCTAAAAAAATATTTTTTAAAAAAAGGTGATTGATAACAAACAAAATTGTTTTATGGTATTATGTGGATCAGATTGAATAGGAAATCTTACTGACAAATGGTTTTTGGTATTGATTTGAGAGTAATTTGTTATTTTCTTTTTTTATTCAAGAGAATTGCTTTGAAAGTAGGTAACTTATGTATTTTGATTAATTACAGAATTAGAGAATGTTATTTCTTGATCTTTTAATGATGCATTTAAAAAACAAGAAGGATTTTTAAACAACAACAATAGATATACTCAGGGTGTAATTATAAAGTGATGTATACAATTTAAAAAACGTATTTAAAATATATTTCTTTTATATTTATATTTATATTTATATTTATATATATTTATATTCACATATTTACATTATTTTTATTTTTATTTTCAAAATTCATATATTCATTCATATTCATGTCACCAATTTATTTATTTATAGGAAATGTCAGTTATATATATATATATACAGTATTATATAATGGATGACAATTCATGATCAAAGGTAAAATGTTGATTTGATGAAGTCAATGAAAAGTTGAAAAGTAAATAATATATTAGACTATATAACAAAAAACCAAGCCTGTGTATTAAAACATTCAATAAAGAAACACTATTAATTTTTTTTTTTTGTTATAAACATTTTATTTTTATCAATTGAAACTAAATTTCCTTCCCTCCGTTCGATATTAAGTTTTCAAATTTGCGTGACGGTCGTGATATCTGGAAGGGAGATCGTCACAAAATTTAGCCAATGAAATCAAATGTCCACTATGTTTAAAAAAAAAAAATTCTTTCGTTTACTTTAAATGACTAAATCAAGAATTTGTTTTAATATTGAAATTTAATGTGACAAAGAGTATTATGTGCAAATATATTATTCACATAATTAATATTAAATAGATTTAGAAAATACAATTTTTTTAATTGTTATCATTTGGGATATTTTTTAAATTTATGTTGACGAAATCAGAAATTCTTTATTTTTTATTTTCTGGATTCTTTAATTTAGAAAATAATATTAAAGCTGTTTCAATTAGGGTAATTATGCAGAGAAATTATATTTAGAAATATTGTTTATTTTTAAAAAAAATTACATGTATAGATAATGACCAACATAAGGTCCGCATCATTTATTACAAATAAATAAAAAAATAAATTTTTATTGATCCTTTTCAAAAACTTTTAGAGCATCTTTGAATATATCAATTCCACGCTTAGCCTCTTCTACTTTTATTATCAATGGTGGTAAAAATCTAATTGTATGATTACTAGATGTAATAATTAATAAACCTCTCTCTCTTGCTAATCGTAACAATGGTGCTGGATCCTTATTAAATTGGACACCAATCATCAATCCATGTCCACGTACTTCTTTAATAAGCGATGGATATTTTGATTTCAATTCTTTACTTTCTTTCATAAAAAATTCTCCGACCTTGTTTACATTTGCTAAAAGTTCTGGGCTATTAATACGTTTTATCACTGATAATGCTAATTTACAGGCTAATGGACCTCCTCCAAATGTTGAACCATGATCACCTGATTTTTTGGTAATAAGAGGAGGAAATGAATAAATAAAAGGTATATAATATTTAATCATATACATTTGGTGTTGATATATAAATGTTATGATATTTACCAACTTCAATACTATCGGCCACACGTTGAGTTGTCATGACTGCACCAATTGGGTATCCATTTGCTAAAGGTTTCGCCATTGTTAAAATATCTGGATGACACGATTTTGGAAATCTTTGATGCGCCCAAAATTTACCAGTACGGCCAAGTCCACACTATTTTTTAAAAAAATAACCAAAATATTTATATTATCATTTGATATTTGTTTGACATTTTTGACATGTGAAATGTAATTTGCTCCCATGGGGAAGAATTAATCAATTACCTGAACCTCATCATAAATCAACAAAGCTCCAACTTCATCACATCTTTTTCTTAAAGCTTCTAAAAATTCTTGAGTAGCAACCCAAAGACCACCTTCACCTTGTATCGGTTCAATAATAACAGCACAAGTATTCTGATTGACATGCTCATTAATTTTACTTGTATCATTGAAAGGCGCAAACGTAAATCCTGGCACCAAGGGTGCATATGGAATTTGTTGTTTTATATTGTGTGTAGCCGATAACGAACCCAATGTTCTACCGTGGAACGCGTTGGTGAATGATACTATACCGATTTTGTCCTGTTTACCAGAAGAAACTTTTGCCCATTTTCTAACAAATTTAAATGCTCCTTCGTTAGCTTCTGTACCAGTATTCGCAAAAAATACTTTTGCCGCATCAAATCCACCGCCTTCTTTTGTTGATTTTACTAATAATTCAGCCAATCTACCAGCATGCTCGTTAAAATATAGATTCGATGTATGGACAAGTTTTCTTGCTTGTTCTGATAACACATTAGCAACTTCTTCATCCGCATGACCGAAAGCGTTAGTTGCTATACCAGACGAGAAATCTAAATATTCACGGTCTGCCAAATCATATATAAAACATCCTTTTCCTCTAGAGAAAATAATCGGTGGGCGATTATATGTGTTGATGAAGTAATTGGATTGTCTCTCTAGTATTTTTGCGGTATCTGGATGTGTTTCCGAATCAGCATGCGTTACCTACATATAAATAATTGTTAATTAGTAAACATATATAAATAGTGATGACTGACTCTATGATATATATATGTGTATATACCTTTGATGATGTTTGTGTGGCAGTAGTAGTAGCAAATGTACGTGATGACGACTTTAATTATATCAATATTTGGAAGAGAAATTAACAGTTATATAGAAAGAAAGAAAGAAAGAAGAAAGGAATTGTTATTAATTTTGAAAGATATATGTAAAACTTACTTTGATGCCTTTTGTTGTTTCGTTGATTATTAAAGATATATTTAATAATCTGTTTGTACGAATAATTCCCCTTAAATTTTTTAATGGAAACATGATTTAAGTTACAATTATTTGTAGATCTTTAATTAATATTTTAGAGCCTTGCTATAAAAAATAGAGGCAGAAATTATTATCCAAATTATTTCGTTCTTTCGCATTGTATAAATAAATAAATAAAGCTACACGAATGAACGAATGTATAAATGGGATCCAATCTCATTTCCATCTGGAAAATTTATTTATTATTTATAGAAAATAGAGAAAATTAATGAGGTTAGAATTTTGTGTTCGTAATACAAATTAAAAAATTTATTCGTTTATTCATTTTATTCAAATAGAAACCCTACTTATGATTATTTTGCTATACGGTAGGAAAAAAAAAAACCAAATAAATTACATCTACCACTATTGTTATCATCACTAAAGAGAAAAAACCAGTTACTATTATTATTAATTGACTAAAAGAAAAGCAAAAGAAAAATGTCAATTACTTCTGCTGCTACTACTATTATTATTATCGCTATGAAGACTATGAATAAAGGAAATTCTTTTTGGATTATCAATGTGCATATACTACTATTATTAATATTACTATATTGAATTGTTCGTTTATTCAATTTATTTGTTTTATTCGAATAGAAACCGTAGTACCAATGCCAAGGGGATTACATAAGAAAAATTTATTAATCAATTGCATTTTTCTAAATCTAATAAAATCACTACAAAGAATAAATAAAGACCGGCCAATCAAATCCCAATAGCCTTATGGTTCTATTTTCTAATTCTTTAACGAGAACAAATAAATCCAGGAATTTTGCATAATAATAACCTGCAAGTATTTACTCTTCTTCCGATAAAAATAGATGCTGTCTATAAGTAATACATAGTAACCGGTAATTAAAAGTTTGCAATAGCAAAGCATAATTACTATACTATTACTATTATTATTTATGAGTACGGTACGGAACACTAACACATCAGTTAACTTTAAAGCTAGATAAGGAGATATTGAATGCTTGGCTGAAAAAAAATAGAAATGATATTTGATGGCTATCGACTAGTTTTAGAATCTATCGTCGAAATAATGTTTAAAATCGTTAGTTCCGGAGTTATTAGCTTTTAAAAATTTCCGATAAATTTTTAAATGTTTTAAAATTTGGAAATTTATATATATATAACATATAAATTACAAACAAATAGCCCTGAAACCAGTAATTTTTTTTTAAGTTGTCTCGATGACGGATTGTAGAACTAATACCAATATTAATATCGTCTCTATTTGTTTCAGATATTCCCATCAGAAAATTGCATGTGAATCATTGACAAGTATTACTATTATTTGATCACTTTGATCTATTCTATTATCTTCTTCACGCTCAAAGCTTCATATGAGATGAGCTTGATTTTGATGTTATTATTACATATATAATTTTTTTTAGGTAATAAATATTAATCCTACCATTTTTGTTTCGTTTATGCACATTACCTAAAAAACAATTTAAAAGCCTATTTTCTTGAACTTGAAAGGTCAAGTTTAACTCGAGCCTGCTCAAATTAGAGTTTCTATTAGAATAAAACTAATAAACTAATAAAACAAATAAAACAAATAAACGAATAGATGAATAAAACGAACAATTGAATATGTCGCGGCAAAATTTACGGGTAAATTTCTTTTTTTTTATAACGGAAATATAGAAGGGTGAAACTAAATATATTATTTGTGTTTCCACTTGTCTTTTACATGAGGTAAAACTGCGGCAAAACCAAACAAAGTGTACCTCAGTTTTGGCTGGTTATTTATTTATTTAATTGGTTTATTTGTGATGATGGATCAAAAGATAATAATAGCAATCTGATTTATTATTAATATTAACGGAAAATAATAATAATAAATTGGAAATGATTTTAATTTACAAAAGTTGCACGAAAAGAAAATCGGAAAACTGATCAAGAATTCCAATTTGATATTTATTGTTACTCAATCATTGATAAAATAATTAACTCACGGAAATGAATTTTAAATTTTAATTCTTAGATTCTATTTAAACAAAGGAATTTAAATGATTTTGATCACTTTGGAAATAATTCTACACAAAGGGCTCAAATAATGTTTAAGGAATACATTTAATTAGAACAAATTAGGGGTTTTAGGAAATCAGAGAACTTGATAATTGAATGTACAAATAACGTTGTAATTTTGTATCATCGCAAATAATCATATTATATTACAATAATTATCATAATAATTATTTAATAAATAACAAACTGTCCTTATCCTTGGCCTTGACCTTGTTGTTGTCTTCGAATTTTATATTCTCGAAATGATGATAAATCCATCTCTAACAATGAATTCGTACTAATCCCATGCATAATTATTTTATATTTATCTTTTTTTCTTTTTCTTTTAATAAGGTAATATTTAATAAATTTTGTTTAGTGAAGTTTTGGGAAACGTACCTGACTTGAGTAGGGAGTAACAGTTAAGAAGGGTACCCACCAAGAAACATGATAAGGATATAATGTGAAATCTAAAGAAGATATTGTTTAGTATTGCTTAACAAGGAATTGTTTAACGATAGTGAAAGATAATTTTGAGAGTAAAGCATAAATATACGTTCACGGAAATTGTTGTTACGGTTTAGTATAATTAAATTGGAAAAAATAGTATTAACATTATTGGCACTAAATAAATAAATAATCATCTTCGAGGATCGGACACGATCTCACAATGTAAAAAAAAAAATTTATAAACATTATTGAAAAATGGATAAATAATCATCATTTTTTTTTTGTTACGTACTGTAATACGTTTTGTCTAATATGTTTTCACTTTAGAAGTATTGTTTCAACCGGCTCTCTGAATATTTCGAGTATCTTTTAATGCAGCGAGTGCAACAAATAAACAAGGTAAAATACCAACAGATGGTCTTGATGCTTTAGCCACTATAAGTCAAAAAAAAGTTTGAACTCCTAGTATATAAATATCTTTGATTTTAGGAATGGTATACTTTGAGGAAATTAATAGATTTCTATATATTTTAATAAATTAAGAAAAGTGTATGTTTAGAAATATTTATTACAATTATTATAATAGGAATTTTAAAAAAAAAACCCTTTTCAAAGGCACAAAGTGTCACGTTAACTCATTTGTTAAACGGCTAACATTACTATTTTCTAGATTTTTTGCAACATTATGCCTCAAATATTTCATTATCAATTGGATGTCAAAAAACACCCAGATTCTTGCGAGTTTTTCTGTTGATGTGAATGAAATCTAAAGGTGGCTCCTCAATTAATTGCGACTAGTTGCAACTAATTGCGGCATATAAAAAATGAATTACGGTTCCCATCTTTAATGAAATCACTCTAGTAATAATATTTTTTGATAGATGTAGTTACTATCAAAATTGACTCTGAGAATCTTCAAATAGATAAAAAACTATTTATATTTATCAAGAAATAGTGAGAATAATTGTAGAAAGAATAATGATATTATCATTATTATTAACTTGCAACATTTTTACAAAGATCTCCTAGTATTTAGAATGTGGAAGAAATAAATAAAACGAAATATCGCTTGTTTGTCTTTTTAAAAAAAAATTAAGGAATTTTTAATTTATCTTTTGTAAAATCGGGAGGACAATTACATTTGGGAAAAATTGAAATCTCAATATTATAAACCTTTTTATTTAAGTAAACAATCATATATGAATAAGTGTTCAATCAATTATAAATGATTAAACAATGATATTTTATGATATTTACATTCTGATATTTATAAACATGTGATGCAATTCATTAACTTCAGATCTATCAATCAAGAACGTTTTTTGTGGCATTGTACATTCAATATTTTCTTTTTTTTCTATACATATAATAATCATGAATATTGTTAATATTATTATTTAAGCATGCTTAAACATTTATTATTTAATATTTTACCGTTGAACATTTAGGACGAAGCTTTGCAAGACGTTTTCTTTTCCATTAAATTCATTTTCGCTAATATTAAGTAAATAAAAATGAAATTTATAAATAACTAGGATAACTTGTAAAAAAAAACAACCATTCTCAAACAATATTTACTCGACCAATGCATTCTCTCTTTTTCTCTTCTATTCTTTTTGTTTACTGCAAACTTTTTTTTTTTTTTAAATTAAAATTAAATGATTTGATCAGTTTTTATTATTTTTTTTAATCAATCTATATTAATCAGCTTTTATTTTTATTTTTTAATCTGATCAGTTTTTATTTTTTTTGATTCGCGTTCAAAAAAAAAAATCAAAATTTTGTACAACCCTAATACTAGCATAATTAGAGTCCAAGACGCGTGAGCCAGTAATTCATTCATCAGTAAATGTACAGTAAGTGTCGTTACTTGATATGGTATGGTTCTGAAGGAGAACTGTTATTTGTTAATGACCAAAGGTGTTTTTTGTATTGATATATTTTTTTTATAAACATGAATGGAATTTGTCATTGCCTCTAGGTACTTATTAAGATTCTTCTATCATGATAACGAATGATTGGTATAATCATTATTAATATTAAGAAATGGTAAGGGCAAAGAAAGGCAACATGACTGTTGAAGATGGAAAATGGCTCCTGACGATTTGGAAACACTAATGACGAAACATTTGATGATTGGAAATTTACAAATATTAGATTATGTCAAGATGCTACTACAGCCATTCTCAATCTTCCTTGTGTACATAAGGCTAATCTAACCTGCTACGCCCAACGATAGATGCAACTAAATTCCAGGGGGGGCCGCATGGTCTGGAATTTATCAAAGCTGCATTGTTGTCAAGGACGCTTTATGATCCTAATCTTCCCTTTCAGTACCTGACTAGAAAGATCAACAACAGGTTGCCGGTAACAATCCTATAGAGTAAATATGGGTCTGTGGCCAAGAAATTGTAACTTGGGAGGCTGCTGAATTTTGAAGAATTGTAATATTAAGTGAACCTGCAACTTGTTATAGCCCAGGAGTTTGCAATTCAGAGTATGGTTGGGGACTTTGAAATTGCATTTGGGCTCCATTCCTTCGAAAA